GTGAAATGCTTGAAAGAGTATGGAGACTAATGCTCACTCCAGCATAAACAAAGCCACACTGACGATGTGTCAACCACTCCCTCATATTTTTGTACAATTTCCTTCTTCAATTCTATCATATTATTATTATTATTATTATTATTATTATTATTATTATTATTATTATTATTATTACTATTGTTATTATTAGCAGTAGCAGAAATGTTTGATTCATTGCTGTGTTCAAGAGTGAACACATGATGTCACCGTCCAATACCTGTCCGAATAGCCATTCCAATATGCAGTCATGAATGAGTTTACATTATTTATACTGTAGTTTAATAGCAAATAATGAACAAACAAAACACTCACCACACAGTGGTGGGAGGGCTGGCTGCCAGTTGCAGGGGTCGGAGGGAGGGTAGTAGGGACTCGCAGGTGGTGGGAAACTTAAATATGATTTGGTGGCTGGAAATTTGGCGGCTGGGAATTTGGCGATTGGGAATTCGCGATTGTGTGAAGCCCGTGAAAGTTGGAAACGCGAATGTTGAGGGAGACCTGTATTAGTATTATTACTATGGTGTTAAGAGTAGAGGGACACTCTTAGTGAACGAGTAACAAAGGCAGACTGAGTCACAAACATATGAGCGACCGCGTCCTGCTGGCAAGCGGATGCGTCTGGTACTGGCGATTTGTGAGCGGATGTATGAAAATGGGGAAAATTTTGCCAAAAAAGGTGGCTGAAAACTGAATTGTTCGATAACCAGACCAGACAAAAACTGGGATTCCACTGTACATCTGGATAAACTCTCAATCTTGTAAAATATTTTTTATTTTATTTTTTACTTGCTTTTGTGTTTTTAGTTGTCAATTCAATTATTCAGTGGTAACACCCCATACAACATAGTTTTCTTTGTTTCAAGATTTTGTCTTGCATACATATTTTTTGGTCAGTAGACCTTAAGTATAGGTTGTTGATCAATAATTGCTCTCACCACTAGTAGAAATAATTCTAACACAATAGTTTTCTTCGTTTCATTAATATTTTAGTTAGCAGGTTGATATTATAAGGTGCAGTGTTTTGGCGCAATCATTAAAGTACAGTACCATTAAACATTTACATTTTTCATATCTGTGGAATGACTTTTCTCTTATATTTCTCCTCTATCTCCATATCTCTTTACCTTCTTTAATATTTGCCAAGGGAAAATAATTTTTTTCCTTACCTTTCTATTTTTTTAGCAGAATATAGTGGAAATTGCTTCTTATTTACAGACCAGCATTCAGCTTATTGTAGTTAATTTTGAATGGTGCTTTTAACTCTAGACCAGTTGAAAGTGTGAAACTGGCCGATAGACATACAAATATAATGCAAATTCCATTTCAAGTGTGAGAGAGCTACAGTTAGAAATAGAATAATAGTTTAATTGGTTTTCTGCTAATAAATCTTGTCTGTTTTTAAGAACAATTTCTTTTAGTTGATCTTGTGTTTAATAGTTGTACGGCCAGCATTGTTGTTCTAGTAGTGTTTAATTTTCTTTTATAATTATCCAGTATCAAAGTGATAATTACAAAATAAAGATTTTGTTTTCCAAATTCTTCCTATAACAGATAGCCTGTATTCTTTTCTGTTCAAATGACATTAAAACATTAAAATTATTTACTCCAAGTATTTACTTAATTTTCTTTACCCAGTCCATGCATCCCTGCTATTAATAAAAGTGTAGTATTTTGCACCCATTTATCTAATTTATTCTCTTTCTCCTTTCATCTCAGGGATCACTTAACAGAAAGATGGTAAATGAATCTCACCTGTTTCCTGCTTGCCTTTCTTTTATACCTTTTTTTTTTTGCATGCTTAGTGGGAGGGTTTTGTGTACTACTTCAATTTTAAATACAATACTACTTAACTAATACTGTTACTGCAGTTAGGATTGTCATCATTATTATCAATGTTCACTTTAAACAAAAATGTGTTTCTCAGACACTTTCTGGTCATTATAATTATTCCAAGCTCTTGGTTTATCCCAGTTGTGAATCTCGTTGTCCTGTTATAAAAAGAATGGCATTGACAGGTGTCTTTTAACCCTTTTGGGGTGGGTCCCATTGTACTACAGCTTTGAAGCCCAGGTCGGTCCCATTGTTCTACGTGATAAGCTCAGCTCTCTCAGATAATCTCTGAGTGGTAAATTTGGACCTAGATATGAGAGAATGGGGTCTAACTGTAAGTGTACACCATATAAAAAAATCCTGCAATATGCAGTTCATAACGAGGAAAAAATTGCAACTGTGCTTTTGGTTTAACCCTTAACCCTTAAACTGTCCAAACTTAGATCTACGTTCACCTGCATGGCGCTCCGAATATTTTGAAAAATAAAAACATGATTTTTTGTTTTTAAATTAAAGAGGGCAATTTTCTGTGTGGTATAAGACCAAAAAAAAAAAAAAAGTTTAGGACCAGTACTTACTGAGAAATAAGACCATGTAGTTGGCTCTGGATGCTCACCTGACGGCAACATCCAGTCCTGCTGCTTGCAGAAGTGTTGCCGATTTACCTTTTTTTCTTGTTTTTATTTTAATTTATATAATTTTTATGTTCTGATAATTACAATTTATAATAGTTCTTGTGGTTTCATAGCCAATCTTTGTTCTGACACTAATATTATGTACTGAAATAGTACTCAGATTGTAACAATCACACTGACAGGTGAACATTTTCACCTGCCTTGGTCATTGACTATTGTCTAGAAATATGTACAAAGTATTTATAGGTCCCAGTAATGTTTTAGACATGCTGGAGTATGAAACTCCTTGAAGCATGGTGTTATGACAAGGGTCAGAATGTGCCCTGCTGGAAGAACCTTGCCTTTAATATATTTTTACTCTTGCACACAAACATGTCTTTGTATGTCTGTCTGTCTGTGTGCCTGCCTGTCTGTCCGTCTGCCTGTCTGTCTATCTGTACATCTATCTGTCTCTGTCTGTACCTAGCTCTGCTTATCTGTCTGTCCAGTTCAGCTTATCTGTCTTCTGTGTGTGCGTAGAGTATAATATGAACTCCTTGAATAATGGTGTTTTGACAACGTCAGATAACAAAGTGACATTTGATGAATGTGTGCTGCTGGAGGGGAAACCTTGCCTTTATATGTTTTTACTCTTGCACACAAACATGTGTCTGTATGTATGTATGTCTGTCTGTGTAGCTCTGCTTATCTGTCTGTCTAGTTCTGCTTGTCTGTCTTTCTATCAGCCTGTGTGTCTGTCTTTCCATCTGCTTGTCTCTGTCTCAGGGAGCGGCTGGTAAACCTGTTGGTTTGTGGTGTATGTGCTGCTCCCAGATTGCTGAGCAAGTGACACTGCTATTACTTGCATCATGTTTATTTATGTCTTATATCTACAAACACTGTATAGCACTTGGCCTGGAATTTTTGGGTTATCCTAGGTAATTTACATAATATATAATAACTGTATTTATGAGTACATGTGAGAGACAGAGATATAGACAGAGGTACAGATAGTGATATAGATAGACAGATATATAGATATAGACAGACAGAGATATGGACAGATGCAGACAGAGACAGCCAAGCCAGCCAGCTAGCCAGCCGAATACATAAGAACATAAAGAAGGAACACTGCAGCATGCCCACTGGTCCATGCAAGGCAGGTCCATATCACCCCCAGCTTAGACCAATGACCCACCTAGTCAGGTCACATCCACTGAAAGAAGGAGCACAACATCTGACTCTGTAGCACAAGCTAGTCAGGTCCAACTCACACCCACCCACACCCACTCAAGCATTTATCTAACCTATTTTTACTTTCCTCTTTAAAGGTGAGTGTTAATATGACATGAGTGAATCACTGGTGTTTGCCACGCTATTTGCTCTAAATGGCGCTCAGTTGAACTGGTGCTCCCACAAGGTACTAAGTGGTCCCCGATTTTTTTCATAGTGCGCACACTGAGTGCACAGACTCATTCTTTCATATCTAGGCGAATCAGGCCTATAGCACCAAATTTGAAGGAATGAAAAATAAAACGTCGATATATGCTTGGAGCACTCTGCACGTGCATGTATATCTATTTGTGGACAGTTTAAGGGTTGAAACAGTGACTTTCCAGTGTATTTCCATAGGGGTTTTATGGTTGTATTCTCAGTTTCTTGGTCTCTCAATACAACGGAAATGTTTGATTTTTGCCGATATTCCAGAGTACACAAATTACATCACTCATCTAATATGTGTTCACAAATGCGCTGTCAATATTACAGTTATTACAGTAATTCAGTATTCTGCATAATGGCAAATCTTCTATTTTTTGTGTGAATAAAAATTCAAAATGGAAAGCAGGTGTAATATAGGAGAGGCCTAGGGATGCAACTAATGGACAAAGGAAATGTTTTTTTAGTGCCAGGAATGTCTATTTTGTTTATTCTGGACCCTGTTTTTAAATTGACAATTTTTTTTTATTTTGTTTGAAATTGGCCAAATTACTGATTTCTGATCACTGTTGGGTAGTGAAAATAGGTAAAGGGGTAATTTCTTGTACTCAGTCGTTCGAATAGAAGGAATACTAGTGAAATAGCTATGAGTTTGTTTGACTGGAACAATGGAATTTTCTGAAATTAGGGCTGAAAGTGGGTGAAATCGTTGATATGTTAATGTCCCCGAGACCACTAACTTTGCGAGAGGGTAATTCTACGGGTTTTCCACCAAATTTCATACTTTTGGTCTCATTACTTTCAAAAGAAGGTTGTCTATCATTTCATGAGTTTTTTTTTTTTTTTTTAAATTCTCCGACCCTAAGAGCAAGTTTCAGATCAGGGGTCCCAACCCTGAAAGGGTTAACTGGAGCTGGGTGCAAAAATCATAATGTATTTTTTGGCATAAATTAATAAACTTTGTTTTAACTTTGGCTTTCTATAAGAATATATGCACTTTCTCTTTAAATACATATTTACATGGGTATAATGGTGTAAATACTTTTACTGATAATTTAACTGCACATTACATTATTTCAGACCCCACAGAATGAAGTCTGGTTTTCCCGTGGCCACAATGTTGCAGGAAAAACTACATTATATGATATGGAGGTGGGTAAACTCATATGTAAGTAAGATTGTGACTCAGAAGTTGATCATTTTATCCTCTACATTTATGTTGGATTTTGAAGTTTAAAGTTCAAGGATAAACTTACAAGAACATTAATTTTTTCAGGTTGATCATGGTCAACGACATGTCCTCACAGCTTGCCAGGATCGTAATATCAGGGTTTATAATGTTAATACTGGCAAGCACTCTAAAACTTTCAAAGGTTCTATTGGCGATGATGGAACTCTGATAAAAGTAAGCAAATAAAATGATATACATTAAGTACTGTAGCATAAAATGTCAAGTACGTACAATGGAACCTCGGCTTTTGAATGCCCCTCCATGCTAATTTTTCAGGATGCAAACAGTTACTTGATCGATTTTTTGCTTCTGGATATGAATGAAATTTCAGGATTCGAACTTCTCCCTCAAGGGAGGTTCCTTGGTGAGGAGCTCTTGGTCAAGGGAATTGGATCTGTGCTCCACTTACCTAAATTAATGATAATAATAATATGTAATAATAATAATAATAATTATTATTATTACATTAAGTACTACTAATAATACACTGCAGCAGGCCTGTTGGCCCATACTAGGCAGGTCCTTCACAGCCCATCCCACTAACAGAATATTTACTCAACTTAATTTTCAATGCCACCCATGCAATAAGCTTTGATAATTTTAGTTACTCGTGTGCAGGTCCCACTCACATCCAACCCCTCTCACTCATGAATTTATACAACACAAATTTGAAATTACCAAAGGTATTAGCCTCAATAACCATACTAGGCAGATTGTTCCACTCATCAACATAAGAACATAATGCTGCATCTGATGATGTACAGAGTGGGGTTATAGAGTCTAGAATATTGGGTAGCTCGGAAGGGAGATTGGATAAGTTTGTGAGCAGACCTTCTGCAGTGTTCTTCCATTCCTATGTTCTTATGTGGGATAGCGATGAAGAAGTTTCTTGGCAAGTGGTTCAGCTATGTTATAGAAGCCACTATTCTGGTTGAAGTTGTCGGATATAGAAATAAGTGATGATTCCAGGTTGTGTGAATTACGGTGTTGTACACACGCATTCCTTGTATCGTCAGACCTGCTTGCATATTGGTGTTCTGAAATACATGTTTGGAGGTCCCTTGATGTTTTGCCCACATATAATTTGTTGCAGTCATTACAAGGTATTATGTATACCCCTGCAGAGGGTGGAAGCTTGTCCTGTCTATCACTGGTAATGTCCTTGATGGCTGTGGTTGTAGAGGTAGATACTTGGAATGAGGTATTGGAAAAGATGTTGGAAACGTGTTTGGCAATGGAGTTGGTGGGGAGGACTATGTATCTCTTCTTGGCAGTGTCTTCTCTGGGTGTGTTGAAGATGTTTAATGCCCGTCGTCTGCAGTCTCTGATGAAGTGACGAGGATAGTGGAGTTTAGAAAATACTTGTTCAATTATAGTGCATTCTTCCTCGAGAAACTCATTGCTGCAGATTCTGAGTGCACGCAGGAAGGAGCCTATAATTACACCACATTTAGTTTTGGTGTCGTGGTGAGAGTAGAAGTGGAGAAGATCGTTTTGGTTGGTGGGTTTTCGATAGACTTTAAAATGAAGTTCGTGGTCAGCTTTGCAGAGAAGAACATCAAGGAAAGGAAAAGTGTTGTCGGCTTCATATTCAAGTGTGAACTGAATTGAAGGCTCGACCTGGTTGAGCTTGTCTTGGAGAGCTTGAAAGTTGAAGCGTCTAGGAGTTAAAAAGAAAATGTCGTCAACATAACGGAGCCAGGTGACAGACGAAGGAATAATGGCGGAGAAACGTTCGGCTTGCAGAGGTTCCATGTCTAGGTTCGCCAGGACCGCACTGAACTTAAACAATGCTACAAAGGAAGCTTTTCTCCAAGCCAGAACACTAGGCACAACACTCCGGGGCAACATGAACAGACGCACCGCTGAAATCATTTGCAGCAGAGTTACCACAGCAAATGTTCAACAGAAGATCGGACTTACTAGGAAACTACAAACACTCTGCGATAATAGTAATTGGAAAAGTTTAGGAAGGCCTGAAATTATTCAAAATCTTTCATCTCGTCCACTGTCAACCACAGAAACTGAAGCCCTCAGCTTAGGCCTCAAATTCGCAACAGGAATTACGAAACCAAAACAAGACCTCAATTTCATCGCCAAAAACTACAGACACATTGACTCCGACTTCCAAAAAGGTTACCTTCAAGGCATCATCTCAGCAGCCATCTCAACACGCAGCTCCCCAGTCATACCTCGACGTTACGTCAATGCACTCAAAGGTTTAGCAGAAGACACGACCATCAGGGTCACCACTGCTGATAAAGGAGGTGGTGTTGTTATCATGAACACTGACGATTACAGGAATAAAATGCTCAACCTACTTAATGACCCAGATACCTACAAACCTCTCACAACTAACCAAGTGGACAACCTTACTAAAACTTTTCTTCAAAGGACTCGCCGCATTCTGAGGGTCTCAGAACAAGGGAAGAAACTTCTGCACGCCATGCCCAGCAATCCCAGACCTGCCAGAATGTACGGTCTGCCAAAAACTCACAAGCCTAGTATCCCACTGAGGCCCATATCCTCGGGAATAGGCAGTGCTCCCCACCAGCTCTCAGGAATTCTCTCAAAACACCTCTCTAAACTCTTGGGCACTATCAGTCCAGCACATCTCAAACACTCGGGTGATCTTCTCAATCGCATTCGCAACATCAACATCAGGAACAAGAAACTTTCCAGCCTTGACGTAACTTCCCTTTTCACCAACGTGCCTACTACACAAGCCATCGATCTCTTGCGCAGGAAAATTGACGATTCACTTGATCTTCCTATTCCAGCCAGCGATTTCATCGACCTTGTTGAACTATGTGTTGGCTTTACGTGTTTCTCTTTTGAAAATCACCTCTTTCAGCAGACTTTTGGACTACCCATGGGTTCACCACTCAGTGCGGTCCTGGCGAACCTATACATGGAACATCTAGAAGCCGAACATTTCTCCACCATTATTCCTTCGTCTGTCACCTGGCTCCATTATGTTGACTACATTCTCCTCATAACTTTTAGACGCTTCAACGTTCAAGCTCTCCAAGACAAGCTCAACCAGGTCGAGTCTTCAATCCAGTTAACACTTGAAGAAGAAGTCGACAACACACTTCCTTTCCTTGATGTTCTTCTCTGCAAAGCTGACCATGAACTTCGTTTTAAAGTCTATCGAAAACCCACCAACCAAAACGATCTTCTCCACTTCTACTCTCACCACGACACCAAAACTACACGTGGTGTAATTATAGGCTTCTTCCTGCGTGCACTCAGAATCTGCAGCAGTGAGTTTCTTGAGGAAGAATGCACTATAATTGAACAAGTATTTTCTAAACTCCACTATCCTCGTCACTTCATCGGAGATTGTAGACGACGGGCATTAAACATCTTCAACACACCCAGAGAAGACACTGCCAAGAAGAGATACATAGTCCTCCCCACCAACTCCATTGCCAAACACGTTTCCAACATCTTTTCCAATACCTCATTCCAAGTATCTACCTCCACAACCATGACCATCAAGGACATTACGAGTGATAGACAGGACAAGCTTCCACCCTCTGCAGGGGTATACATAATCCCTTGTAATGACTGCAACATAATACGTGGGCGAAACATCAAGGGACCTCCAAACACGTATTTCAGAACACCAATACGCAAGCAGGTCTGACGATACAAGGAATGCGTGTGTACAACACCGTAATTCACACAACCACTTGATAAACTACAGAAACTCAAGACTTATCGCCACAGAAGACAACACTCAATACCAAAGAATCCTGGAATCATCACTTATTTCTATATCCGACAACTTCAACCAGAATAGTGGCTTCTATAACATAGCTGAACCACTTGCCAAAAAACTTCATCGCTATCCCACATAAGAACACAGGAATGGAAGAACACTACAGAAGGTCTGCTCACAAACTTATCCAATCTCCCTTCCAAGCTACCCAAGATTTTAGACTCTATAACCCCACTCGGTACATCATCAGATGCAGCATTCTCCACCTGACCTCAGCATTCTGAACCTGACTATAAATACTCGAGTACCGTCCACCCCAGGTAGATCTGTTTGTGACTTGAAAAAGCCCACTGTGTGGGTGAAACGTTGTCAATAAAGGATCACATTATACTGCATGTGTGTGTATATTTCCATAAGAACATAAGAAAGGAGGAATGGTATACAATACCGACAAAATGAGATTAAGACACATGTGCAACATCTGGGTATCTTTTTTGTAGACGTTTCGCCATCCAGTGGCTTTATCAATACAAATTCTAGGACATAACTTGAAGACAGTAGAACTATGTACAGAAGATGAGGTAATCAGTCCCTCAACCTAGGAGTAGGTGCGAAGAGCACCATAGTCGTGGAGATTCTGAAGCAGAAGAAAGGATCCTGGCGCTTATATAGTAACGTCAGGTGTAGCAGACGAGGGCATATTCACTGGTAGGCGGGATTCCCCAGTGGAAGTAGGTCCTTCCCAAAGAGATGGGTTAGTTGTAGTAGTAGTAGTAGTTGTCGTAGTCGTGAAGGCTATGTACATGTCCTCAGAATTAAGATTCCATGATGTTGCAGTGTCTGACAAGTTGTGTACGAATGGTATACAATACCGACAAAATGAGATTAAGACACGTGCAACATCTGGGTATCTTTATTGTAGACGTTTCGCCATCCAGTGGCTTTATCAATACAAATTCTAGGACATAACTTGAAGACAGTAGAACTATGTACAGAAGATGAGGTAATCAGTCCCTCAACCTAGGAGTAGGTGCGAAGAGCACCATAGTCGTGGAGATTCTGAAGCAGAAGAAAGGATCCTGGCGCTTATATAGTAACGTCAGGTGTAGCAGACGAGGGCATATTCACTGGTAGGCGGAATCCCGCCTACCAGTGAATATGCCCTCGTCTGCTACACCTGACGTTACTATATAAGCGCCAGGATCCTTTCTTCTGCTTCAGAATCTCCACGACTATGGTGCTCTTCGCACCTACTCCTAGGTTGAGGGACTTATTACCTCATCTTCTGTACATAGTTCTACTGTCTTCAAGTTATGTCCTAGAATTTGTATTGATAAAGCCACTGGATGGCAAAACGTCTACAATAAAGATACCCAGATGTTGCACATGTGTCTTAATCTCATAAGAAAGGAGGAACACTGCAGCCAAGCCTTTTGGCCCATACTTG